CCCCAAAACCCCAAAACCCCAAAACCCCAAAACCCCTAAACTCTTGATTAAATTGAAAACATCGAAAATGGATGCCATTATACTATTGGATAGACATATAATCGCTATTTTTACTAGCAGCAGCTCTAAAAGCTACTTCAGCAAAGTCTTTCTCGGTCATCATGTTTTTCAAAGGTACAATGCTGATGCTAGGGAGGTTAGGAGACATTTGTTCTCGCATTTTATTCGCTATCTTTGGCAGGTGCTTTTTAGTGCTAAGTTGGAGCTTATCAACAATATTTCTCATTTGTAACTTCCCTTTCCTTCCAAGACTTGAAGGATTACTTTTTCTGAGAAATCCTACCTCCCTCCTTTTCTTCTTTTTAAATACTGAATACTGTATTGTTGATTCTTCTTCGATTTCGAGAGGATTGCTCTCCTCTCTCTTTTTGGATTTCTTAACTTTGCCCAGAAATTTTTCTTTTATGGTATTCATGGCAGGCTCACTAATTTTCTGCAGTCGACTGTAAAACCTTTGATTCTCACAGAACTCAAGGTCGCTTGAATCTTCACTAAGGTCGTCTGACCCAAATGTCTTTGTCCTCTTGGGTTTGAGTTTCTTGGTAGAGTCATTGAAGTTGACCCTCACTTTGCTCTTCACATTAGTTAAGGATTTAAAGTATGGTCCTGACTCTTTCGAAGGTGAGACTTCTCCATTATTCTGTCCTTTAATCTTACTCTTGAACTTATCCCTGACTTTCATTCCAAGTTTAAGTTTATTAAGCGAGCTTTGTATGGATCCCTTATCTTGTACCTCAAGTGACCCTCTTGTTCGGTCCTGGATCTTTTTGTTAACTAACGGTATAAAGACTTGGCCTAAAAGTTAACTCCCAAACCTACTGTCTCCTCTGCCTGGGTCTGAGACGATAGCAATGAAGTTGGACATATGGTTGTTGTACTCTTGCTCGTTAGCTTGGTTGACTGACTCAACCATTTTCCTTCTATCCATGATGTATTTTATACCTAAACGATTACCATTAGTTGCAAGCAAAGATTGGATAGTTCAAAGCTGATTTTTGAAACATGAAGGGTTTTAAATGGCTTTTTCAGTTGAGGGCTTCGGGAATTTTGGACCATTGACTTGGAACAAGGCATTGGGAAAGGAGGTTTATGGGAGGGAAAATGGGTTACTTAGGTATAGGAATTATGAAGAGGAGGTTTAGAGATTATGTTACAAACCCATTTAAGTGTTTCGGTTGATTTTTTCAAAAATACAAGCTAGTTTTATGCCCTGAGCCGATATTTGCTTGGACAATTCTTCAGGTTGGTAATTTATGTAAGAATGGTTTTAATAAAAATATTTATACCAGATTTTAATCAGAAATAATCTCATATAATAATATCTAATACCATTGTACTTACCATTTCGTCTATGTCGTCATTCCTATGCTCTTCTAAGGTGGCAGAGGAAGTCACTTCCATGACATTTTCAATGAGTAAGCTCATTTCAACTCCCTGAACTCTTTCAATGAATGTGTTCTTCTTATGGTCGATATCATTCCTGATCTTGTTTTGTAGGGTCATATATCTTCTATATTCCTCTGAGAAGTTTTGACCTAGCTCTCTTTTAATATCTTGAAGCATGTCGTATCAATATGACATTCCATAGTCGTGAGCAATGATAGTGTAGTTATTTAAGCTTTCTATGAATGTTCGTTTAGCATAGTCTAGCAAAGCAGATTTGTTCTTAACATAGTGAGTAAATATTTCATAGAGGACAAATCCAACACCTGCTCATCATATGCCAACTCCATGGTAACAATCGTGCTTCTGGAAGATTACTTTTGCATGCAGGAATTCTTTTATTGCTTCTGTAGAGGTCTCAAAGCTGTTGTCCTTTTTATTTCTGATAAGTGCTAGTCCTTTTAGTTTTCTGAGGTTTGCTTCTCATAAGTTTTTGTCATAAAAATATTTTCCGTATTCTTCAATAACCTTGACAACATCTGTCTTTTTAGAGAAAAGGATGAGATTGGTCAGGTAAAGAATCATTATCTTGACGTCGTCATTGATCTTCTTAACTGTTTTACCCTTCTTTGAGATTTCATTGACGGCATTGCCTTTGTACAGTTTGTGCTGCTCTTGCATCTCCATTAATTTGTGTGAGAGTTTCGAAAAAAGTTCATCTTTTGGCATTGACAAAGAAGAAAGTTTCTTGTTGCTTTTTATAATATTAGCAACTTTTGAGTTTATGGTACGTTTTAGCTTCTTGTCCATTTCTCTGAGTAAAAATGATGAATTGTCTCCTAGCCCTGCTTCAACTTTATTTCTTCACAATTTTTGGCTTGGGTTTGATAAGCTTTTTATCTGTTTTGTTCGGCATGACTGATTTTTCAATAAATGAAAGGACATTGCTATCCTGCAGATCATTAGAAGTTGTCCTTGGCATAATTTGAGGCTTAACCATTTCAATTACATCATTCAGCACTAGTTCATCCTCTTCTTCTTTAATACTTCTCTCCTTATTTTTCATCATTAAGCTAAGAAAGTTGTGCTCAGTAATTTTTCTGAAGGGTTTCGATTTAGGCTTGAAGTCTTCAAGAGCATCATTATCTTCTTTACTAGACTCTAGATCTGAGTTGTCTGACCCTTTGTTGCCAGAAAGATTTAGCATTACATTTCTAAGTTCTGAAGATTGCTCTTTGTTTTGTCCAATAATAAGCTCTTTGTCAAGAGTGTTATCAAACTTTTTCTTCTGGATAGGTTCAAACTTTGAATGCTTCTCTTTTTCAGGACTAAAGTTGCTTGCTTTGTCTATACTGGCCATGCTATTGTTCCTATCAATTTCTGAAAAATCAATGTTATTTCTTAATCTCAAGGGCTCGATAGACTCATTCCCAGATATTCATTTCAAAGAACCAGAGATTGTTCATGATAGACTGGTTGTCTTCGGAAGACTCTCTCACTGAATTCTCTTTGAGGATCGCTTCCAATATCTGAATGTAATATTTTGTAACAATCTTATGGATCTTCTTGTCTTTCTCCTCGCTTGTTTCTTCTGCAATATTTTTGATCATAGGAACAAGCTGGAATATCTCTATCTCATTTTTGTTCTGTTTGATCTTCTTCCTCATTATAATGGATGCTTTTTCTAGATAGATACAGAAGGAATGCCATTCATTAAGGGAGTTGCCAGACACTTTTTGCCAGAGAGCATCAATGTCTTCCTTCCTAGCTCCTCCAGGGAGATATCCCATTAGGTTAAAGAAGTCGTATATCTTCTTATCGTTGTATAATTTTAGAGAAAGATTCAGAGACAAAGTCAGATTCTTAACAACTAAGTCTCCTGCAGTTCCCTGAGTCAAGGAGTTTAGAATTGTCGACTTCACCAAAGTTTCATATAAATGGTTCAAGTCGTTGGTCGAATAAATATTTGCTGCCAGAGAGATTGTAATTGGATGGCCTCCAAGGAGATAGCCAAAAAGATGTTGGTATCCATTTTTAAACCCAGCATGGATTCTTTCTGGCTCTCTCTTCTGTAGTTGTAATCTTTCATCTTTTGCTATCATTTTGTCTGCTTTTTCTCAGAGGAGCCTTTCAGAAAATTGAGGAGTAAGAGGCTTTAGTCTGATGACAGAATCATGCACTCCATTAATGCCTCCTAAGTATGAAATTGGCTCAATTTTAGAAGTCAGAAGTACTTTAATGTGCTGTGATCTTTCAAAGATCATTTCCAAAAATTCTTTCAAGACGTTAATGGAGATTAAGAAGCTTTCAGCATTGTCAATAATTAGTAGCATATCCAGATCTTTTATTTTCTTCATTATCTCTTTGAATACTTGTAAGGTGTCCTTTTTATTTTGCAATTTCACTGAGACCTTCTCATTCGCTTCTATTATTTTGGTATTGAAAGTATGTAGCCAAGTTGGAAGAGAAGCTCAATTATTCCCGCTTAAGAAGACAACACCATTTTTGATGAGTTCTTCATTTCTCTCTTTCAAATAATGAATGACAGCGTGGGCAACTGTTGTTTTCCCTATTCCTGGCTCTCCTGTGATTGTGATAAGCCTCTTGCCTTCTTTTAAAATTTGGAGTACTCTTCTAACATCTTGGTTTCTTCCTACAAAGGGAGCTGGCTTCGTTGGCAAATTCTTCATAAATCAAATTCCCTTGCTAAGCTTATCTATTCTATTAGTAACACCTTTGTACAAGATAAAATTATGGCATGAATGAGGTTCATTTATTGAATTAGTCGTCTTCATGATAAACAGAGCACTCTGTCCTTCTAAGCCTTGTGAGATACTCAAAGTCTGTTGAGCAATATTGTATGCTTCACATGGAGTTCTAAGTTCGCTAAATAGGGCTTGATAAAAGGCACTGCTAAATTTGATTCAAGCTTCGTCCATAACTTTCTTGTTCCTTTGTATTCAAACTACATGTTTTGCACCAGCGTTCAAGAAGACATCTGCTTGGTTTTCAGAGTATCAAGATGATAGGAAGACAACATCTAGTTTGAAATTGCAGACATCAAGAATCATCTCAAGCTTTCTTGAAGACACAAGTTGGCCGGATCCATCTTTATTCTCAAGCACGAGTCAATCTTCCTTTTTGCCATAAGTTTCATGGTTGCTTATACCATGACCGATGAAATGGAGGACATAAGGAGATTTACTGATGGATGATATAAAATTCATGGGAGTCCCCATTTGGATTGAGTAATTTACTTGATTGTTTCCTCCTTCAATAGCCGTAGTTATATGATTTATATCATTATGGAAATCTAATTCTTGAATAACTTTGAATGCTTTCGAACCCATTCCATCAGGTACTTCATAGCCTAAAGGAGATGCATAAAGGACAGCAAGGTGCAATTTATCCAGGTTCAGATTTTTCTGGGGAAGGAACTCTAAAATTTTGCTACTTTTAAGAGGGGTCTCTCTTTCTTGTGATTTATTTCCTCCCTCAAAAAGTATCATTCGTTGATCTTTGCGAATTAGCTTCAGAGCTTTGGAGAGCACTTTTTCCCTTTCAATGAGTGTTCGTTTATATCTCTTGATTTTCTCATGACAAATACAGCTATGTCCTAGTTCAAGGAAGGATGATTCAGTTGAGGCAGCTAAATATGTTATTAAAATAATCGAATAAATTAATCAAAATATCTGAAAATGAAAAATATCTACTTTGCCAGAGTTAAGGTCAAAATGGGTAAATTTCACTTAGTTCTTTGCTGAATTTAAAAAATATAAGATTTTAATAATCGAAGTCTATAAATTACCTCTATCTTTATTTATCCCAAATCCTGATCCTTCCGCCGGTTGTTACCGGTCTGATTAATACACTGTCATCGTCAGATTGGTCAGTTTCAGAATCTTTGTGAACCCTAAAGCTACTAGATTGAATAGCTTTCTTTTTCATTTATATTAAAATTATTTAATGTACTATTTTAGAATAATTAATAGGGGTTTTGGGGTTTTGGGGTTTTGGGG